TATATATATAATCAGCACCGGCAAAAAACTCATCAACAAACAATATTACATACTACAAGGCATCACCGAGACCGCTTTCCTTTTTATCGAATACTCTAGTGTTGTTTTTTTATAGCTTTTGTCTCTGCGGCATAATAACACGATTTACATTATCCCTTTTCGCTCTCTTCCTGTCTTTGTGATTAAAGGCACATTGTGTGGGTTGGTAGGCGATCGGTGACTTTTTTCGTTAAGTCCTAGTGGATACACCCCCACACCTGTTGTCGGCTACCGTTTTGATAAAAAAAAAATTTCAAAAATAACGCCATCAAACTTTACAGCACGCAACTATGGGGGAGCTGTTTCGAGGCCACCTTTCTCTAAGAAGGTAGAGGCATGATTACAGATAGAACCACACCGCCACGTGTTTTACATGTCACTTTATATAGATAGCACTAGGTGTATATGAGACATATTGATTAGACAAAATGCGTCTACGTGCGTATGTGTGAATCGTCAAGTACATATTTATGTGTAATATACCATCAGAAAGAAAAATAAGTCGAAAAACTGACAATTTTAGGATTACGCTTGGCGTGATTGACTCGTAATTCAAATAATTCTGTCCGCTTCAAATGAAACGGGACAAATTGGTTCGCATGCTCCGTACCTGCAATATATTATGATCATGTGTGTGTAAGTGTTATTCATAAATAATGTGCAGTAAGCGATGGTTTACGCGTAAACACTTGTTCCTTCTCATTCAATCTTTCCTCATTTTTTCAAATCATGTCGAGTCGCTTACTCTCGCGATTCACTAAACTTTAATATAGGTGTACATATGTCATCCATATGAATGGCTATGCATCTGGACGCGCCACATCGATCGCCGGCTCGACTGGACAATTTGCTGAATCTCTAATTGAAATATATATATATATATATATGGTAGAGCACGATGTCTCGAGTCTTTTTCTGTTTTCTATTATAGTCACAATCACGGGCAGCAATCTCTATTTACAGTTGACCCGGCACATTGGTTGTTCGGTCTTCTTCATTTCTACCCATTTTCTAAATATATGCTTTCTGTACAACTTTCATAATTTTGGTTACTTTCAGTTCTCTCCTCGGCAATACCGGAAGGCGTTGTACAAATGACTAGCCATCATACGCATATCATAATTATATTTAATGTAGTGGCTAAAAGCGGTCAGTTGTGTTATGTTGGTGCATTGTTCCGCTCTCGATCAATCTGAACAGAGGGTTGAGCCGCTGGATGTCCTACGAAGTAGTGAACATAACTGCAGGACCTAATATCATTGTAATGTAGTCCGTATGCATTCTCTAAGCTAGAATATAGGTGCACTCTGATATCAGGGTCAAGACGACAAAAACAGGTAGCGGCAATTTTTAATCATAGCTGCTTGTCTTACAACACATATCAGTAATTATAGCGGTATTACTCCCTATGGTGGAAAAAAATAATTACAATTAATTAGGCTGGAATTAATGAGAACAAAAGGAAGCTCTACAGGTTGATTCGTTTCGTCCTTTAGGTGGCTTTATGTTTCCGTTGAACGTTGAAAGATGACCGCCTCGGGTTGGCGTTTTTTGCCGGCTATCGCTTCCCGCAGGCCTTTATCCCAATGCCCTGATGGAGGCCGTGTTGGGAAACGAGATGCTGTTGAAGCGATGACTTGCGGCCGAATCTGCAAATACAGAACACGAACAACAACAAAGAAATAATAGGTAGTTCATATAAGAGGTGCTTAAAATGATATTTGCACTTGTGATCCACTAACCATACATAGCAATGGCTTTAGATCAAATCGCGATTTTTGAAAAGCTCTCGTTTTTGCCAGTTTATCAGAGGCGTCGATAGAAAAACTGTTTCAGGAAGTTTCGACATGAAGTGCGATTTACAAGAGGTGTTTCCGACTA